GATTCAAGAGCCGAATGGCTCACAGGGCTATACCTAATAAATGAACTTGAACACCGAGCCATAGGTCACCGTTTAAATGACTAAGACAACAGTGACACGCTGAGGATTCTCAACAGTCTCTGACACCAAAGGATTCCAAGCATCCCAACGAAGGCTCCCTCCTCCATTGATCATTCTAAGCGTAGCAGGGTAACCGTTCCAAGCCAGCTTGTTTGTTTCGTCCGCGTTGTTGTTTCGATGTTCTGCTGCCTGTCGTGGCGTAATGGTTAGCGCACTGGGCCTGCAATTTAGTTGTCGCAACGTAGCAGTTAAAATAATGAGGTAAAGTTTTTTTTTTTTTATCCCCTCCGCCTCTGGTCGAACCGGCAGTAGAAAAGTGCACGGCGCAGTTTTAGTCGATGGTCAGGATATTCTTTCCATCGAGTCAGGGCCCATTAATTAAGTAGTGGGCGTCGTGGTGGCGAAATGTCAACTCCCACGCCTGGTGTGAGGGAGGTTGTGAGTTCGATCCCAATCCTGACACCTGTATATTTGTATTTTTGAAGTTTTCATGTTCTCCCCGTGGTCACGTGGGTTTTTCTCCGGGTCCCCCGGTGTTTTCCCTCCACATTTACCATCAACACGCGTTTAGAGTATTTGGCTGCTATAAATGTCCACACGATAAGCCACTTCGTTGAGATATAATTTGTGGGCAGGTCGCTTCTGAAAAAAAAGCTATTGTAGTTCAGTGAGCCTCTATCTGGTCAAATAAAACAGAGTGCATGGCTTGGTTTGGTAAAGCCCTACAAACTGGTAAGTGAATAATACGGGGAACGAGTCGTAGGATTTCAGGCTGTGAATTCTCGGTAACAGTAATTGCGTGCGCCGTGCGATTCGGGGAATGTTTTTAATGAGCCCAGGTTTCGGGTGGCACGGCTGATGCATTTATTGCTCGAGGAGCTCCTAATTCCCGCCCTCGTAAGAACCACGACCACAGCACTCTGATGGTGCGATGGCTTTTTAAGCTTCGCTTTCTTTAGGCGATGTGCACATCACGTGGAATTACTGCACACAAAATTGCCAAGTTTACCCAAGTTTCGGGTGGCACGGCTGATGCATTTATTGCTCGAGGAGCTCCTAATTCCCGCCCTCGTAAGAACCACGACCACAGCACTCTGATGGTGCGATGGCTTTTTAAGCTTCGCTCTCTTTAGGCGATGTGCACATCACGTGGAATTACTGCACACAAAATTGCCAAGTTTACCCAAGTTTGGGTTTTTTTGTGCAAAACTAGGCTTCGTGCAAATAATGTGCATTCCAGAAAATGACGTGATGGAATTATATTGTGTGTGTTGCTATTTTGTGGTTGTTCAAACCATTCGATGCAAATGAATGTTATTAATTTTGACTCAGCCCATCACCCCTCCGCTTCATGTGGTGAAGTCAACCAGGGTTGACCTGTGGAAATACTCACCCCTGCCATTGGAATGTGGAATTTCCATCCGCCGGCTCTGGACGTGAACAGCCTCCATTCTCATTTGATCAGGAAATCACGTTAATGTACCTACGTATTTCTTAGTTCACATGCCTTTCTATTATCCACTGCTGGATGAAGGAATCCCAAAGCCGTGTCAACCGTGGGGGTGGTTTCACCGGACCTCACAACACAGCCTCGTCGTGCATAGTTTTGATAACAGAAATAGGAACACATTAGCGAGACAGGGCACAAGCTCGCGCTACGTCTTACTCACCGCATCTTACAACCTGGAGAACACGGTAACGTTGCCGTGCGGCGAACAATCACTCACATTGTGCTCTCAAAGCATGGTGATTTGTGCAATGGGAGGCTTCGCATGCATTGTTCCGAGTGATATGTAATTTTAAAAGTGGATATTCAAGGCACTGGTTTCTAATAAGATGTCTTGAAATCTACAAGTAACAAGGGAAATCCGGTTAACGTTGCTTTACATTTTTTTTCTTAATCATTCAGTGTGCAGGAGATAATTTTTGTCAACTATTCACAAAGCTGTGCGTTGACAAAATGTGTGCGTTTGTGTTGATTTTTTCAAACCATGAACTCAAGAACAGCATCAACAGCAAACCGGCTCCTGAAATAGCAATTTGGCCACGAGGGGGAAATTTTAATCTTTAAATACGATGGGATATGGTTTGGCATGGAAATTAAACCCGAGTGGTGTTTCATTGAAAAAAAAAATGATACCCACATATCACAAACAGTGTTATCACCCCCTTTTCTTCGCTGCTTTAATTTATTTTGTATTTGAACAACGTAAAAATACGTGTGTTTATTATAGTAACGGAACCATGAATCAAGTAATTAACATTAAAACGTACACACAGTGTCATAGGTGTTTGCACCAATCACGTCTCAGAATGTGCTCTCGGCCCTTCGTACATTCCGATGTGCGTCACGTCAAGTCGGAATGGTCCTGGAGGTTGACACTGCAGAACTACTTCAGGAGTCACTTAAATCGTCCAAATATCACTGAACACTCGACTTTCGCGACCAATAGCATCCATAACAGGTTTTTTATATTCTTGGTTCTTTCGGTAAAGTCACGTAGAAGGGAAGTAATAAAATAATAAAAGTATAAAACAATACAATTCTCACGACGTTTCGACTGCAACACAAGCAATCATCATCAGGTGTGAAATCCACAGCAAGAAAATTTGAAAAAAGTGGCGTTTTCTTCTTAACGTCAGCACCACGGACAGCGATTTGGCAGTTGGTCAGATGGACGAGTCCATCCATGTTCGGGAAAGAGGAGGGGGGAGAGGAAGAGAATGGAATGCGGTCTGAAAGTCACCGTAAGCGTGAACACAATCAATTAAGACCCGAAATGGTTTATCAAATCCTTCCAATGATTGCTAAGCCAGAATCCATCTTCGCGGTTGAAATTGTCTCTGTGTTTGTATATTTTTATTGTTATTTTATTATTTCCCTTCTACGTGACTTTACCGAAAGAACCAAGAATATGAATCCCTGCAGTCACGAAAGCTTTAAATAAAAAAAACAGGTTTTTGTTTGTTAGATCGCGTAAATATGTAAATGTGTCGTTAGATCCGCCACCACCCGACACAGCCAACTAGTAAGGGTTGTCACGTAAACAGAACGTGGCCAATTCGTCACCAGTACAGCACACCAGTTGTGTGTTGGGGAGCCAAGCCACAGCATTTACAATCCGAGTACGACGCTTCGCCAGTAATTACAACTCGCTTTTTGCAATTGGATCCACCTTGATAGTCGCTTGAATCGTCGTAGACGCACAGGGATGTGAGATACATCACGTTGGTTACTTCTTGCTCTTTGAAGAGGGGTGGGGGGGTTGGTGGGGAGGGGTTGGGGTTATTGGGGCTTCTTGTGCAGAGAAGAAGAAGAAACAATCCACTACATTATTGTTTTCTTGTCGGACTCAGACAAAACGAGTTTGTGTGGAATGGCTGAGAGGAAGGCACAGGGGGTAAGGGGAGGCGACTGCTGCGAGTGAGAGGAGGCTTCGTGGTTCCCTGTATCATCCAGATTCGGGGTGGGGGGGCGTTATATGGCATACATAAAAACACATTCCTGCGGAGGGAACTGGTAGGAACGTTGGGTTGCTCGGTCAATGGCCAGGGTCAACGGCGGCGTGGTGTATTCCGCAAATATGCCCAACTGTGAGGGCAGGCACAAGCCGGCGGGAGAAGGTTAAACGTTGAGTTTTATAAGGGCACCACGGGGTGACCAGCCCCTCCCCACACAGCCCCCCCACACCCAACCCCACCCTCCCCACCCATCCCCTCCCCACCCTTCCCACCCAGCCCCTCTCCACCCTCCCCTACCCACCGAGCCCCACCCTCCCCACCGTCCCCTCCCCACCCTCCCCTCCCCACCCAGCGCCTCCCTTCTCACCCAGCCCCTCCCTGCACGACGGACACAATAATCCCCTGTGGGCTGGTGTGACCTGGCGGTTTCTACCAGTATTAATGTGTCGTTAAGCCCGCCACCACCCGACACAGCCAATTAGTAAGGGTTGTCACGCAAAACAAAACATGTCAATTCGTTACTAGTACAGCACACCGGTGTGTTGGACAGCAAATCCGCAACATTTACAGCTAGCTTCATCAGGCGACAGCCAGTGAGTTTTTTTTTAAACTCCCCTGTATTATATTCTTGGTTCTTTCGGTAAAGTCACGTGGAAGGGAAATAACAAAAGAATAACATTTATAAAATATTAAACTATATATTTTATATTTTTATTATGTTATTATTTCCCTTCTACGTGACTTTACCGAAAGAACCAAGAATATGAATCCCTGCAGTCACAAGAGCTATAAATCTAAATGTAATCCCCTGTATTACTTTGTGTTGTGTGTGTGTGTGGTGGAGAACGGGGGCGCAGCGGTGAGCGCACTGCGCGAGTTCGATTTCCGCACACGGCCAACACCGGTGACGAGTATTGAAACGGTACTGGGCCTTCGCTAGGTCGACTCAGCCTTAAACGAGGACCTGGTGCGGTGTGTAAACATCGCCACTGTGGAGACTAAGTCGGCCCCTAACAGCACTTTCCCCAACAGTCTGTTGCAGGCTATATGGGGGGGATCTTTGTCTTTGTGTGAGGGTAAGGCCGTAGCAGAGGCGAGGGATGTATCTTACCGAGGCAGGCATGGTGGCGGAGCAGTGGTTAACGCTCGTGCCTCAAAGCAAAGAAGTTCCTGGGTTCGTTTCACGGGAAATCCCTGGGCACATTTTAAAAAGTTATCCTGCACGGTATCAATGCCACAGCCTGCACCCACCCCCAACCCCCGCTCCTCACCCCACACATCTCCATGCCCCCTACTCCATCTAACCCGCTTTGCACACACCAAAAAAATGTGTCCGTTTTTGAAGTGGTTAAACCCTTTTGCAACATCTATTGAGGTTATATAAGTGGATCGTGTGTTTATAAAAAAAAATTGCACACATTTATAGCCGAAATACGTTTTCTTTTCTTTATTTAATAATAGGCAAAATATATGTTCGAACAGAAAAGTAGCAACAGGGAATTGTAGTTTTATCCTTAAGCACTACTCTACCATAATATGTATGTTTCCAATGACCAAACTGATAAATAAACGTTTATTAAATATACCAAACCACTAAAACACAATAGCATTTCCAAAAGTGTAAATAAAGGGCAGGAAATGTGCTTCTTAAGTCAGTGTCGTGGAGTTCAAATGGGCAAGGTTTATTGCGAGAAACCTGGAGAAATGTTTCCAATTTACCATCAGAGTGCATTCAACTAAAACAAGTCTGTAATAATGCCTTACGTTAAAGCATTGCATTAGATTGATAACTCATTTCTTTAGGACTGCATTTTGTATTTAGTTTGTTGTCCATCTCCCGCACCTCGGATTAGCACGGTTGGCTACGTACGGTGCGAAAGAAGTTCAACGCACGTACACATAAATACAAAACGCCACCATCCACCCAGGCAAATTAAAATATAACTTTAAATACATCCCCTCCAAAAAAAGTATCAATCTCCTACAAAATATGACGATATGTTAGTGACTGCACGTTGGTCAATCTACCTCGATACATGCGAACCACTGTGCCAGTCGGGAAAATATGTTTCAGCGCTTAACACCCTGTCAAAGCAAGTCGTGTAGAAGTGTTAAATTAATGGACATTCAGTGAAAATAGTCTCCTTTTACAAAGCCTCATTAACTCATACACAGTTATAAAATGGGTCAGTTATGCTTCAACATGTGGCACGGCTGATGTAATGTCTCGTATAACCTATGTACATACAATCACCAGACATGTATCGATTCAGCGATGCAATACTTCGTCACGATTTGGACTCAAGGTTCAATTCTAGAATCGAATAATAATATTAATAATATAAATTTTCATCTACAAATTTTACCGTCTCATTAGTATCGTTGGCTAAGCGGCGGTGTTTCTTTGACCGTTTGTGCTTCAGCAGTTCGCGGTTCAAACCCGCGCGGCCGCCCTGGTTAACAATAAAATACGCGCCGACCAATTCACTGCGGACGTTAAAGATCCGGGCGACATCATTCACTGAGGAGAAGGCCATTGTGTTTGCCGATGTCATGGTCCAGATTTGCAAACATGTGCACATTGCTCAGTTGGGATTATACACACAGCAATCATCGCCTCCCCCTACTGTGAAACTGTCACAGACCGCGTGAAGCACGGCGCCTGTGACGATAGTCTTTGAGCCATAACAATGGCATGGCTATGAAATGTACCTGTAAATTTAGCTTTGCAAATTAAGTTTAAAAAATACCTATATTTATATGAACGAATCGATATTTGAATTGTGAGCATAAGAACTGATTTCAATCGACGAATTGTTACATGTCTCATGTACGTGTGCATTTTGTTTTTACTAATAAGAGCCACACGGTTTAAAAAAAAAACTGCGAAACGTGATCGGTAACCCAGACTCACACCATGATCGTTTGTATCTCAAAGGGTCCTTTAAAAGTTGTGTTTGTACACAAGTAAATAAATAACCTAACTAACAGGACGTGAGCGAATGTCAACGCGAGTTCGCCAAAAAAACACATCGGTCCTACTTCACGTCCAAATATTCAAAACCATAAAACGAAACAAAGCGACGGGGCTTCTGGAACGTAGTGAAAGGAAACCCGTTTCAAGGGCGTTGAAAGTCGGACAAAATTCGAGCTGCGCCCGTGCCACCACGGCAGACGCCGGCGAAACGTCGCGGGCGGCTTTTGATTTGGATTGCGGCTCGACGAGCACGTGACGAGCACGTGGCAGGCACGTGACGGGCACGTGACGAGCACGCGACGAGCACGTGGGTGGCTGTGACGTCGGCAGTCGATAACCGTCGTTCGGCGACCGACACCACACAACAACCAAAAAATTCATATTTTGGGTTTTTTTGGTTGTTGTTGTTGTTGTTGTTTGAAAATTTGCTGAGGAAAACAGCAGCCGGTAATTGTTTGCCACGGTGCAAACGGTCGGCACCACTTGCACGTACGTACGTTGAACTTCTTTCGCACCGTACGTAGGCGACCGTGCTGATGGGAGGTGCGGGGTGGGAACAAAAAAACAACTTTGACTCGCAATACAGAGGTGGCGGGTACTATTCAATCTCCAGCGGAGCAACGTTCTTAAATCGCCCACCTCTATCCAAGACGTCTCTGTAACCAGCGTGGGAGAGCAGAAGGCAAAATAGCATCTCGATGTGGCTCTTCCAGAGCTCCCTCTAGTAGGAGCTTCCTTTCGCCTGCAGTGGCTTGATCGAGCAATTGCAAGATTGCGCCTTTACCGTTTGCCTGTACGCACCCCGCCACTACCCCCCCTCAACCGTGGCGAGAGCAATGAGACGGCAAAGCCTAGGAAGTGACAGAATTGAGCGGCTCACGGAGTGACGGGCACGCACGCAGGAGGACGCTCGCACGGAAAGAACTCGCAGCAGCAAGGGACGGAGAGGGGTCGTCTGGAGCCAATACCGTGCACTCTAGACAAATCGTAAACAAAAACATTACTTTATAGATGTCTATGCATTTACCAGGCTCCGGATAAATAAAGAGTCCCTGGAATTTAGCTAAGAAACGGAGTGAAATCAGTATAAATACATTTGCAAATCATGACACGGTACTTTTGACTTCAATATTTTTTCCACAATTTTAGTTTTTTTCTCTCTCTCTGCGTCTTTTCGTAAGGCTAGGGACAACTGTGTTGGGGCGTTTTTTATCTCGTGGATTTTTATAAGAGTCTCTCTCTCTCTCGCTCCCCCCCGCCCCCCCGTTTTTAACCCCCTTGTCCGTTTCACTCTTCTGTTTTGACGCCAGTCACATCTGTTGAATAAAAACCATCCGCTTCAAACGAAGCACCGTGGCGTGCATAACCAATGCTTCCGTTCACCCCTCACCGTTACCCCCAACGTGGCAAAACCGCCCCCGTCTTTTGCAGCCCGGCGACGTTGCAGTCTTCGCCCGGAGAGCGAACGACGCCGTCGCTTTACTCACACGTGGCGGTTTGTTTTTATTGTGTCTCCGCCATCGTGGTTTTCGCGGTTTTGGCATCGTCTCCTCCGTCGTCACGTGCCATTCGTCGTAGTCGTCGTCGTCGTCGTCGTCATCTTCGTCCGCAAAATTTTGAAACGTTCCCGCGAAAGTTGTTTTAAATTTCTCTCTTCGGAGGGACGAACCGAGAAGCTTGCTTGGCCATTCACATAGGCTACGTCCTGACCTGTACACGCGCACGCACACAGACACGCACACGCACACAGACACGCGCACGCACACAGACACGCGCACGCAAAAAAAATCAGTTAGGCAGTTTAACGCGTAGAGGCATTCGCGATCAAATATGATCCATAACAGAGGTTTTTTTTTGGGTGACTAAATTTTTGGGTAAAAAATTACAACCAGCTTCATCAGGCGACAGCCAGAGTTGTGGAGAAATCCTCCTCCTGTGTCGCTCTTAAATAGAGCGATAGATGTGACGTCGTCGCTTGTGGGCCAATCAGGTGCAAAGACCAGAGTGGGCAGTTAATGTGTTCATATAAATTACAATGGATAGTTGACTTGAAGCTTTCGTGACTGCATGGAATTCATATTCTTTGGGTCTTTCGGTAAAGTCACGTAGCTTTAAATATCAACGTCAGTAAACTGGCCACCTCTGCGGTGCTAAAACACATTCCTGCGGAGGGAGCTGGTAGGAACGTTGGGTTGCTCAGTCAATGGCCAGGGTCAACGGTGGCGTGGTGTATTCCGCAAATATGCCCGACTGTGAGGGCGGGCACAATCCGGCGTGAGTAGGTTAAACGTTGAGTTTTATAAGGGCACCACGGGGTGACCAGCCCCTCCCCACCCAGCCCCACCCCTCCCACCCCCCACCCAGCCCCACCCTCCCCACCCAGCCCCTCTCCACCCAGCCCGACCCCTCCCATTTTTAGATGCACGACGGACGGACGGACACAATAATCCCCTGTGGTGGTTCCTACCAGTATAACAGGGGACATATCATGGGAAGAACAAGAATGTCTCACGCAACTGTGCCGGGAAGACTCGCAGATTTCCGACAGGACGGCTGCCTCAATAAGCGTGGCAAGCCTCGTTAAACCAGGACAGGTGGAAACTCTAGCCGGTGTTCATGACATCGCAAGCACACCATGTAATCATTGTATGCTGAGTTAACCTAATGGTGGCCCAGACCAGCTTCAATAACCCAGTTTCTGCAGAGTTTCCCAAACTCCAGTCCTCTCGACCCAGCACGCTCCGTCTTTTCCCGTTCGCGCAACTTACTGCTCTCGTTAAAATGACAAATTAACTCGTTCCATGCCGCACGCGCCCGCTGATTGTTAAACGCGTCCCCACGTGACGAGCTGAGCGTCTCTCAATCGGGAGTTCACGGCACCGCTGACACCGCTGGTGTCACGGCCAAACGGTCGTGACACCATCTCTCACGCGCTCGATAGAACATAAAGCTTGCCGGGCCTCACGGAACCGGCCAAAGCATCGCGTTCTCCCCCTTTTAGCAGGCCTGATCATTATTAAGTCATTAAATCGTCGGTCATTAAAGCTCAGGACTATGGTGGTGGACCTCAACCCATGCGTGAGCAGCTGTGGCAATTTTCACAAACACCCACAGGTCCACCAGTCGGCGTGTTAAAACACCCTAACGAGCACTCAGCTCCGGATTTATTGATCCGAGAGCGCGCTGGGATTGTACAACGCCGAGACTCTGTGTGTGTGTGTGTACTTTTACGACAATGTTGTTTCGTAAATAAAACGTTACCGTTGTTCTCTCTCTCTCTCTTTCTCTCTGTGTGAGTGGCAGTGCCAGAGCGAGTGTTAACCTCGTTCAAGTTCTTGCATCGAAAGTTGAATCACCGTAAAATAATTGTTTACAAGGGTCACGGCCGCTAAGGGGCCGAAGGTCAGGAATAGTAATAATCATGGAATGGCTGTCATGAGAAAAAAGGAACGCGTCAGAAAGGATCGTCTACCGAGGAGATGGAGTGATGAGATCAGCCCGCGTGCAGCGTGGATTGTTGCATGACAGGATGTCAGTGACTTGGGAAGGCCTTCATTGAGCAGTGGATTGACCATGGCTGATGATGAGTGACAACATCTTGCATTAGGCATTCATGAATTGCAAACGTCCTTAAATTGTGTTCTATTATTCACGAGGTGAAGCCCACTGATCTAGTCATTCATTTTCACAGGTGACCTGGCCACGCACGATAATAGCTCACCGAAGTGGCCTACAGCATCACAACTTGGGATTCATAGTCGCAGCCAAATAATCTAGACGCATATTCTAAAATGTGGCGGAGGCGGGGGGGGGCAAACCCGGAGGAAAATCCACGCGACCACCACGGGCGAGAGAGAGAAAACATGCGGCCTCCAAATATACAACAGGCATCGTCAGCGTCCGGGATCGAACCCACGACCTCCTTCGTACCGGGGGGAGGGGGGGAGAAAGCATATCCTGGCCATTGCGCTGCCATTATGTTCCTCTTTCTGTCTCCCAGTGCAATTCCAAGCATGTACTGCATCTCTTCATGCGTCTTTGTTCCACGTTCTTCGTCATTGTCCATGTTTCTGATCCATCATGTGTCGTGGCAGGTGATGTACACTGATTCAAGCGTTGATCCTTCGGGCACCTGGGCATTTTTTCTTACAATACTAAGGCGCTTTAAATGATCACTATAATTTCTCGATTCAGACGTTCCCCTAAATACATTTTAACTTTCATGGTCGACGTAAAAATAAACAACTACGAATCATTTTCCCCACTTTCTTCTGTCGAAAACAAAACAGTTTCCCGTGCACTGCTTAGTGGAAGCGTTCCGGCACCAAACTTTGTGCACACGCAACGCGATTCTTCAACGGAGCGGAAATTATAGACTCGGCGATATTGTATCAACCTGAACATTAGACTTTCATGATAGCAGCAAATGATCCATCTCGTGCGGAATTATCTTCACAATTGTAAATCTCTTGCCAAGCCTTGTAACCCATTAGGCAGAAATGTATGTACAGCTGAGGACATATTGCATACGTCGCTAATTTGACAAGCCGCTCCCTGAACACATTCATTAAAGGTTGAGTAATACATTAGTGGTTCCCTTTTCACGAGGCCCATCTTCGTCATCATCCAGTCGCGTAACGAGCGTGGGGTGGGGGGGGGGTGCCTTGCCACTCCTCCCCCTGGTGGCCAAAGCTGCGAGTTGGAGCCCCCCTTGACAGCCACCAAAAGTGTCAGAGGACATAACAATAATTTAAAACGCGGTGTAAATTTATTTTCATGAAAGTGCTTTCACTTACGTAACCACGTCTGTTTTTTACTATTTAATTAGAGCGGTAAGCTTTGGCTTCCGCGAATTGCAGAAAATCTAATATTGGCGGCCCACGTGACCAACTGCCGCACCCCCTGAGCTGATAATGTCGTGACTACGCCTCTGTCATCATCATTCAGAAGCCACTCACTGACACCTGCCTGCAAGCGTGCGCACGAGCTAGCACCCTCTGTGGGGCCGTCCATAAATGACGTCACGTGATTTTGGACGATTTTTTAACCCCCCCCCCCCCACCTTCGTCACACGGCGTCACAAAAAGTCAGACCCCTTCTCAAATAAGACGTCACAAAGCTCTGCCCCCCCCCCCCCCCCAAAATTAAACATGCTTCAAATCGCTTTAAACTATTGTCATTGTAGTGCGTATTTAATGTGGCGCTGCACTCTGATGTTGTAGGAGAAAACATTTATTAAAAAGTCGATTTAATTAAGTAGAACGTGTTGTCTATATTTATTAAAAGTTGTGTATGTTGATGTGACGTCACATTTCTCAAACCCCCCCCCCCCCCCTTGTCACATATCGTCACAAATGTCTGACCCCCCTCCCCCCTAGGTGCGTGACGTCATTTATGGACGGCCCCTGTGTGCTTCACATTTTTACGTCTGTTTTGGCGAGTCATCAATCGAATAAAGACGGTCGCCCCATCGCGCGCTGTCAGATGTGCTCCTGCGGCCGTCCGGAACGCTCTTGCTTACAATGTTAGGAAGACACTGCGGGCTACACACTTGTAAATCATCTCGATTGAAAACTCATTTCTTTAGAATTGCTGCTTTTTGTGTTTCGTTTGGTTGTCCTTCCCCCGCACCTCCGATTAGCAAGGTTGGCAACGTACGATCCAAAAGTTCAAAATGCATACATACTCCCATATGATGGTGTGTTTGTGTGGCTCCTCCCACCCCCCCAAGTGTCATAATCACTGCGCGTAGGCCAAGAGTGAATTTTCTAAAATTCCTGACCTGATGCCAGAGGCACAATGATAATGATGACTTGGCATTGACAGCTTCCATCAAAACTCATCTCAAACATTTGATAGGGGATCCGTGGTGGCAGCTGTCACTGTGGGCACAACGCAACTTAGCACCTGGCCTGCAAGTGGGCATTAGTCTGCCAGTGTGGGGTGTCGATTGCTGCTGTGTAATCCCAATCGGACAATTTGCAGGTAATTTTCGAAATTGGTAAATTTGGGCCATGATTCCAGCACACAATAACCTACTATTTGCACAGAAACCAACACCAGTGATGATTATTCTGAAGCGGTTCTAGGCATCCCCTAGGTAGAATCCGCCTCAAATGAGTACTTGGTGCGATGTGTAAACATCACCGCTAGGGAAACAAAATGTGGCCGGGTGTGGTGCTGGCCACGTGTGCTGTGTCCGCCTTCATGGGTGCCAGCTCACAGCATTTGCCACAACAGTCTATTTATTAAAGGCTACACGGGGAATATTTGTCTTTATTACATTACTGGATTATGAGAGGTGCCGCAGCCTTCGGAAGGTTGTCATCCAGCAGTAGATGTATCATGGTTGATAGTGATGATAATGATTATGATGAAATCACTACACTTGAGATGATGAAATCATCATTAGGGACGCCACGGTGGCAAGATGTTAACTCCCTCGCTCGCCTTGTATGCAGGAGGTCGTGGGTTCGACTCTGCCCATGACGAGTGCATATTTGGAGTTTGCATGTTCTCGCCGTGGCCGCGTGGATTTTTCTCCGGGTCCCCCGGTTTTCCCCTCCACATTTGGAATCAACGTGCGTTTAGAGTATTTGGCTGCTATACATTTCCACTTGATGATAAGCCACTATCATTTGTGGCCAGATCGCTTACCAGGGTCTTACCAGGTAAAATAACAAAAAATGTTGTTCAAATAAAATGTAACGTGTTGGTTTTCATTGTGCAGACATTGGTGACCGAGCTGAGACAATCACCACACTACACTTGGGAGACCGGCTACGTGGATTCAAACGTGAGGATCTGAGTCGTACCATCTCAGTGCTCGAACCCTTGAGCACACCTGGCCACGGAGATTACTACTACCGGTGAAAGCGATCAATATGTTCTGCAAAGAGTGTTCACGTGTTGACTGACAAAATGAAATGCGGCCCGTTGGAGCCGCGCTGTGCCGGAACAAGTGTAAAACCAAACATGATGACGTTTTGTTCAGCCAAAGGTTACCAGACTGACTCCGTCAAAACCGCTGCAGTTGAGAACATCGTTTTTCGTTGAATTACTCACTAGATTTGACCCCAAGGTTCAGCAGTGCTGGCTCAATGGTTTGAGCACGGCCATCGTGAAACAAAAATAATGGACTGTTCTGGCAAGGGGCAGGAAAGCGAGATGTTAGTCCGACGATACGCTGTTTTTCAGTGTGTCGGACAAAGGGCCCTTCTTTCGACTGTGAAGATGCACCATGGCCATTCTGAGTCCCCTTGGAGAGAGAGAAACCCACCGCGCGACCACTCCACCTGGTTCCTGAATTCGAGGCCGAGGCATCCGTGTGAAGCAAAGGTCAGGAAACCGTTTGCGTCGAGGTCAGCATCAAGAGGCTGTCACGTACGTACGTATGCTGAACTTCTTTCGCACCATACATAGCCAACCGCGCTGATCGAAGGTGTCACGACATGTGGTGAGCGCACGACATCATCGACTCGGTCGACAAGAATCGTCGCTTCAAGCGTCGGGCTTTAGTCGCCAAGCTTCTGGGAAACTCCCTGAACGAGTTTTGTCCGAATATCTCCACGGTACTACGACCGCAGCAACGTCATCCTTAAGGAGTTTTTGTCGACCATTCGATCGTCTTCGCGAGAGTTACCGAGACCCGCCTGCTAAGTTGCGCCTCACCAGTTTGAAACGCGGCCAAACCCACGGACCGAGGGACATCCCAGGGTCAAGGGGCTCCCACAAGCTGGCCTCAAGGGCCGAGGACTAGCCTCAACGGTCCAGCACTTGCTGGGCCCCAGGATCTCTCTCTAGCTCCTGGCTCAGCCTATTGACACGGTCATGAAAATCCCGACCACCTAATGACGATCGCTTGTGTTGCAATCAAAACGTCGTGATTTTATTTATTTTATTTTATACCTACGTGACTTTACCGAAAGAAACAAGAGTATACATTTGTTATCATGTTACAGTGTACTATCCATTATTTTCCCATTAAAAACGATAGCCCCATATAAGTCTGAACATTTTTTTGAAGCGTCCTGTATAGGGAGACAGACAGGTTGAACGACCTTCTTCACTGTGCTACAACTGCGTCGAAACGGGATTTGTCACGATTTGCGCTGTGAATATTACGCAGGCGTGCCGCTTATTGACCACCTCAATGCAATAAGCTGGGGGCGCGTTTCCTAACCGCGTCTTTGTCTCTATCGGTAAGCTGTGTGGCCGGCAGACCCAGTTACCTTGGTGGTTTTGACCTTGTTGCCGTTGGAGCAGGTCCACCCCGTGCGATCGGGCAACACCTTGCACTCTTCTCCCTCCAGGCACGGCTTCATTTCACACCACCACTTCTGCACCACTATCGACGCTGCAGCACACACACACACACAAACCCACACGATCACTCGCTGAAGAAAACCTTCACATAACTGGAAAGCACAATAGCGGAGATTAGCACGGTTGGCTACGTACGTTGCGAACGAAGTTCAACATACATACATAGGGGCTGGGTGGGAGGGGTGGGGCTGGGTGGGGAAGAACTGGTCACCCCGTGGTGCCCTTATAAAACTCAACGTTTAGCCTACTCACGCCGGCTTGTGCCCGCCCTCGCAGTCGGGCATATTTGCGGAATACACCACGCCGCCGTTGACCCTGGCCATTGACCGAGCAACCGAACGTTCCTACCAGCTCCCTCTGCAGGAATGTGTTTTAAGAGGATAGTGCGTGTGTGGGGAGAGGTAATGTGGCGGTTTGCACGTCGCACTACAAACCTGGCGACACGATTTCGACTCCCGTTCATGGCCAACGCCAGTGACGATTATCTGAAATGGTCCGGGGGCCTCCCTTAGGTCGACTCAGTTTCAAATGAATACCTGCTGCAATGCGTGAACATCGCCACGGGGGAGACAAAGGCGACCGGCCGTGGTGCTGGCCACCCACCCCCTCGTGTGCCGTGCCGGCCTTCATAGTTGCGTGCTAAACATCACTTGCCCCAACAGTCTGTTAAAGGCTATGCGGGGGATCTTTGACTCGCCAGCACTCTGCTATCCGTCCCTCTTGCTTCTGTGATCTTTGTTTACCCAGCGCAGACGTTAACCACAATGCATCACTCCCATCATCAGCAGCAACTGTCGATGGGCTGCTGGACAAAAGCCTCCCCCACACGATCATCCCTCGTGATCCTGCGAAGCCACAATCCATCTCAATCCCGCACAAGAACTGATCTCTTCGCTAAAGCACGCCAGTTACTCACCGCAGGGTGAGATCACTTAGGAAGGGGGCGACCCAGGTAAGTCGAATGCCAGCTGCCGCAGGTGTTGTTTGTCGTAAATTGAGAGTGAACCCACGTCTTTTCTTATTTTATATTTGTCTAGCGCCTTAACTCGACGCGTTTGACGTGGTTTTAAAAAAATTAATAAACGGTCATAAAATAGAAAGATTTTGATGGCAGGGGGCATGCTACAAGGTATTGAGGATTGGGTGACCGCGATAGAGGGGCAATTAGTGGGGTCGTGAAAGGGTAAGGGAGGGACGGGAAGGATTGGGGGGGGGGCGAAGGGAGGGAAGAGGAAGAGAATGTGCAGGGGTAGTGTTGAGTCTATGGGTAGTGTTGAGTCTATGGGCAGTGTTGAGTCTATGGGTAGTGTTGAGTCTATGGGCAGTGTTGAGTCTATGGGCAGTGTTGAGTCTATGGGCAGTGTTGAGTCTATGGGCAGTGTTGAGTCTATGGGCAGTGTTGAGTCTATGGGCAGTGTTGAGTCTATGGGCAGTGTTGAGTCTATGGGCAGTGTTGAGTCTATGGGCAGTGTTGAGTCTATGGGCAGTGTTGAGTCTATGGGCAGTGTTGAGTCTGTGGGCAGTGCTGAGTCTATGAGAAGTATTGAGTCTGTGGGCAGTGTTGAGTCTATGGTGCAGTGTTGAGTTTATGGGCAGTGTTGAGTCTATGGTGCAGTGTTGAGTCTATGGGCAGTGTTGAGTCAATGGACAGTGTTGAGTCTGGATTATCTTTGTTCAGTGGATGAAGTACTCCACATATAACAACAATAACGCTTATTGCCTTGTATTCCATGGTTTATCCCATAAGCAGGGCCATGTAGAAGAGGCATGAGACTGGAGGCCCAGGGACAGGATGTCTTATTCATGAACGACAAAGAGTACATTGTGGGGCCCTCTTTTACGTGAAATTAAAAATAAACTAAACAAATTTTACTTTAACAGGTAAAGCCCACTGAGCTATACAGCTTTTTTTTCAGAAGTGACCTGGCCACAAATGATAGCTCAACTTAGTGGCTTATCGCGTGGAAACTTATAGCAGCCAAATACTCTGGACGGATATTGATTCTAAAATGTGGCAGGGAAAACCAGAGGACCCGAAGAAAAATCCACGCGACCACGAGGAGAGAGAACGTGCAAACCCCACCTAAACAGCAGGCGTCAGGGTCGGTATAGAACCCACGACCTCCTGTAGACCAAGCGGGGAGATAACATCTCGCCACCGTAGAGGCTCGGGCAAAATTGTCCTTTCCTCCTTACCGCTCCCTCCCACTGGGCGATCAAGTTCATGCGAGTACTCAGAATTTCACAAGGGTTTCTGCCCAAAGAATTGTCGCCGATTGCCATACGCGAAAAAAGTTCAACATACGTACATATGCATTGTTTCGCATGTGGGAGAAATCCAGAGTTGGTGCCATATAAAAACCAACACGTACTCGATAATCACACTAAATATATATACAAGGTGCTTCAAAAAATGTGATAGCTTCTGAGAATTTGCAACAACACCACAAGGAATGTGCTGCCGCCGGGCTCTAAAGACCACCTGGAGAAGATTCCAGGCACGCGTTGACAACGATGGAGAATAGTGGGAGACTCTTTGACTTTTTTAAGCTATTAACATACATTTGTTTCAAGTTTTCGTGACTGCAGGGATCCATACTCTTGGTTCTTTTGGTAAAGTCACGTAGGTAGAAAATAAAATAAATTAAATCACGACTTTTCCATTGCAACACAGCAATCGTCATCAGGTGGGAAACCCACAGCAAGAAATTTTATTTTTTATTCTAAATATGCAAAATTAATATTTTATTCTAAATGTGCTAAAAAATTTTTTTCACATTTAGAATAAAACAAAATTCTTGCTGTGGTTTTCCCACCTGATGATGATTGCTCGTGTTGCAATCGAAACATCGTGATTTAATTTATTTTATTTTATACCTACATTTGTTATCATGTTACAGTGTACTATCCATTCTTTTCCCATTAAAAACGATAGTCCCATATAAGTGTGAACATTTTTTTGCAGCACCCTGTATAGGGAGATAGACAGGTTGAACGACCTACTTTCGCTGTGCTACAACTGCGTCGAAACGGGATTTGTCACAATTTGCGCTGTGAATATTACACAGGCGTGCCGCCTATTGACCACCTCAATGCAATAAGCTGGGGGTGCGTCTCGGTCGCGAGATTACACCGGGGCAAGCCGCCAACGCCTATACGACTCCGCCGCGGCTGTGCGAACACAACGGCGGTTACACAAAAAATAAAATTGACTGCACCGCTAGAACTTGGGCAATTCCTGGCTTCAACTCACCGACTCTTTTTCGATTTAAAGCTTTCGTGACTGCAGGGATTCATCTTCTTGGTTCTTTCGGTAAAGTCACGTAGAAGGGAAATTCAGACGCTGTCTTCCCGACAGACCTGTTCTTCACCTGAGGACGGCTGCTTGCGTTGTGGCCGAAACGTCGTGAGAATTATTTTATTATGTTTTATTTTATTATTTTATTATTCACCGACTCTTTTCTCGAGCTGCCCCCCCACCGCTCTTGAGTGAAGGTCTCCACCCGCCAGCCACGGCACGAGCCGGCGATTGTTGGGGTCCTGCGCCTCTTAACCGGGCCCTTCGGTTTATAAAACGGTCGCCTCCACGGCCAAGGGGTTTTTTTCATTACACGCTTTTATTTAACTCACTCTGTCTGTTGTTGTTGTTGTTGTCGTATCCTCAAATCTTGCAACTCAATTTTAACCCACTTCCCAATGTGGTATCGACTGCAAACTTCGTATAGTTATGTCTTACTGAGGACAATACTATATTCTATAATAAAAAATAAAAAATATATTTTTTAACAATATTTTTACTCGCTTTCTATTAACTCCCTCTGTCTGTTGTTGTTGTCGTATCTTCAAATCTTGTAACTCAATTTTAACCCCACTTCCCAATGTGGTATCGACTGCAAACTTGGTATACTTATGTCATACTGGTGACAATACTATATTCTATCAACGAAACATAAAAAAGAAAATTTAACCATCTTTTTTACATGTTATGTTTCGGCTCGGCTGTAATTGTCCACACTCAGCTGACGTTGGCTGTAAATCACCACGGCCCCTTAAGTTATAGCAAGCCTCGGGGGACACTTCCTAGAGTCGTGGAGTTCTGCCATTACCAGTACGGTACATTTCATTACAGCGTGTGTTTTTACAAGTATTTTTAAATATTACTTATTCCGATGTACCTTCGACGCAGGAGGGCCGGGCGCGCGTGGTGCCGGCCACCTGGCCGGGCAGGCAGGAGCACTTGACGGTCTGCGATCGCTCCTCGATCTTGTTCTTGTTGCAGCAGCGGTGGGCTTCCACCACCTCGCACGTGCCCATCTTCACGTGGCCTGACGCACACGCGCGGGAGGACACGCGGGGAGACAAAAGATTGGGCCCCCTCCAAACCAACCCTGGTGGCATTCGCGGGCACATTGGGGGGAGGGGGGTAAGGGAGGGGAGTGCTGTGAAGCGAGCACACCTGTTGCAAGCCAACGTGGCCCTCGTGTCGGGCCTGAACCACGCCCGGCCGCCTTTGTCTCCCCAGCGCCGGTGTTCACACGCCGCACATGCGTGTTCGTGTGAGGCTCAGGCCGAGGGAGGCCACGTCTGGGAACGGTTCGGATTGTTTGTCGTCGACGTTGGCCGCGAGCGAGAAATCGAACCTGGGTCGCCAAATTCGTAGCTCGTCGCGCTAACCACTGCGATGCCGCTCGCCACAACAACAAAAAACTCGGGCTCTTAACCAGGCATGTGAATTCCATATTCACGTGGCCGGAAACAGTAGCAATCATAAAAAAATTTAAAGAGAGGTCTGCATTGTGTTGTTTGGCGAATTCCATTTGCGTTTGGCGTGTGTGAGACGAAATATTCATAATCAACGTTTTTGGGTTAAATCGCGTTATTTATAAATGTGTCGTAACCCTCCATCACCCGACATGGCCAATCAGCAAAAAAGTGTCACGTTGACAAAAGACAAATAGTTCACTGCTTTAGCCCACCGGCATCAGGAGACGAAATATGATACCCAGAGAAAACCCACGTGTACGAAAGGGTATAAGACGTAAACTTCTCCACGTGTCGATGCTACAATCCACCGCCATCCCGTCATCTCCCGTTAACCACCTCGCAAACCCCGAATTCTCACAAAGTCTCTCATCCAAGGACCAACCGGACTCAACGCCGCTTAGCTTCCAAGATCAGACTCATAACCGCTTGGCTTGCAGGCTTGTGTTGCGTTCGCCTTGGGGCGCGCAAGGGCCCATTGCCATCAGGGTCCCCTCGGCTAAAATCTGCACTCTGTAACATTCGTTACCTCGCGGGCTCAACGTAAATGCCAGCTGTGGTCGCCTGACAGGCTCAAGACAACCACGGGTGACATCTCAACATGCGCTTCTCGTTTTACCGACTTGCAACTGGACGAGGATTTCTAAGATGTGAACTTGCGCGTCTCTCGTCGCGAAGGCAAGAATCCTATTCGCCGCGCCAGCCGAGATGGATCTGTGTGTGTGTGTAACAATGATTAAAAATTCAACGGAGTCAGGAGGTTGAAAATAGCCGCATGCGATACGAGCCTCGGTACGCGATATTCAGGAACGCAAACTCTCAGGAGGTGGCTGTCGGGTTACCGAGGGGGGATCGTCGCTAAAACTAAACAATTTTTTATTTTACCAGCTGTTTTTCAGAAGCGACCTGGCCGCAATTGATAGCTCAACGAAGTGGCTTATCGAGTGCGAATTTATAGCAGCAACCAAATATTCTCAAAGCATAATGTGGAGGGGAAAACCGGAGGACCCGGAGAAAAATATACGTGACCGCGGGGAGAACACGCAAACTCCAAATAAACAGGTGGCAGGGTAGGGATCGAACCCACGACCTCCTGTATACCAGGCGAGGTAGTTCAACTAGCTCTTAGTCCATCAGCCATTCGGCTATCCAGAAAAATATAATCAAGCAGCATTTCATGAAGCATTCAAAGACTTATCCGGTTTCAACCTTCTCGGTCTCATCAGCAGTGTGGGACTCGTCAGATAAACGCTATTGGCAAGAACATTCCATGTAAATCGTGGAACCTCATTAAAATGCAAACTAAAAAAAATCAATAAAGCAAGCAAATCCAAGAGAATGCAATTCTTAGATTTGCTGGTCTGTGTGGGAAGAGCTGTGCACGTGCGTGCTGGATTGAACACGGGAGACACCCCAGGACAGGTGATAGATGCGGGCACCATCCTGACAGATGACACCAATTTGCTTTTAGCACCCGGGCGATGGCTTACATTTACTGATCCCCCAATTAGCAGATACAGCAGTTCAGCGGCAAATGGGGAGGTTTAATTGATCAATCAGCAAACGAGTGTTATTGTTTGGTTTTGGAGTTGGGGGGGGTGTTTGGCGGCGTTACGACGTGCCAGTTAAAAAATAATAATAATCTGCGGACCAGCAAATGTCGCTGTGAACTTGAGCAGTTTTTGGTACCATTTACGCTTCCTTCCGATATCAGGAAGTCACTGTGGAGCTATGCACTTTTAAATCTAGACCGAAAACTAAATCCTTCAGGACTGATTTTCGTGTCGAGTTTGTTGTGCTTCCCCCGCACCCTCCGATTGGCACGGTTGGGTGCGTACGGTGCGAAAGAAGTTCAACGTACTTTGCGCTTCAGAAAAAAACATTTGAGTTTAAGGAATCTTTGCGGGTTAAGCGAGATCTCCAAGTGGCAGTACAGCAAGTAGGTTTGTTATCAAGGCTGTCCGTGCCACCTATTTGATTACCCCACCATCTTTAAGTTTTCCACACACACACACAAAAGCGGCCGGGTTTAATGATGAAAAAATGTACAAATTATTGATGAAGTGGCGGTCTATTTTTAACAAAGATAATGGCAATTATAATTGTGATCGAGAATGTAATTTCCGTCGGTTAGGGGCGCCCTTGGAGGCGGTGCATTGTGGGTTTTCAATGATTTGCTTTGTAATGGCTAAGGAAACCTTATCACAAAAGCAATCATGCTGTGCGCCATACTTGTAATTTATAAATCTTTACCCAATAAAATATAGCAGAGCCTCAAGATGCCTTTAAGACAACAGTGCTTCTTGAGATGTTTGCATGTAAGGTGGTGTTTTTTGAAAATGTGAATATAGATGTGTGCATATATATGTCTATAGCTGTGTATTACTGGTAGGAACCGCCAGGTTACACCAGCCCACAGGGGATTATTGTGTCCGTCGTGCAGGGATGGGCTGGGTGGGGAGGGAGGGGCTGGGTGGGGAGGGGAGGGTGTGGAGGGGCTAGGTGGGGAGGGTGGGGCTGGGTGGGGAGGGTGGGGAGGGGCTGGGTGAGGAGGGTGGGACGGGGCTGGGTGGGGAGGGTGGGGAGGGGCTGGGTGGGGAGGGTGGAGAGGGGCTGGGTGGGGAGGGTGGGGAAGGGCTGGGTGGGGAGGGTGGGGCGAAACCATCGACCCGCAGCATCGTAACGTCAACGGGCCAAATGCGCGCATCTGCTTCGTGAATTGAAATCAAATAAAGAGAAGCCGCAGGAGGACCATCGTGGCCTCGCACACCACACTGTGGGACATAGCGTGAACCCTCCGTAGCCCGCTCTTCTTCAACAAGAAGAGGATATTGTTTTCTCCGATACCAAGGTACTCTGCAAGCCGTCTGGATACCACCAAAGATTTTTCCATGAGGCTATACAAATATACAAACATAGACATAACTTCAACCGAGAAGATTAATTCAAATTGAGCAATCGTTGGAAAGATGTGATTAACCATGTTAATGACATGTTAATGACATGTTACACCTCAACCGCCACTCTCCCCCGCAATGCGCCCCCCCCCCCCATCCGGGGCTCCGTCCTTCTTGTCAATCACCTTCCTGGCTCCGCCCACACCCCAACCCCCCCTCTCCCATCCTGCGCCTGTCCCCCTTGGCTCCTCTCCCCTCCTCGTCCCCTATGTAACAATGTCTCATCACAAATAACTCTCGCTACAATTATTTTGCTGTGCCTTTTTATTACACCTGATGAGGGAGGCTTGTGTTGCCTCCGAAACGTCGTGATTTCATTGAGTTGTTTTCATTTATTTTATTTTATTCATTATTTTACCTACGTGACTTTACCGAAAATACCAAAGAGTAAGAGGAGGAGAAGGAACAGCAAAACGACACGAACACTCTCTCGTCGTGGCGAGCAGACCTCGACAAAGGCATCTGGCTCGTGCACGTGGTGATGGAGCCATTGTGAGATGGAGTAGAACATTATTCGTGTGACATGCCTTGGAAACGGTCGTTTGCACTTTTCTTTGTCAATCCACTGCTGTGCGAGGCCCTTCGCGTGCAATGCGAGCCAGCGGCGGCGATGAGGAGCAAAAGGGCCGTCCATAAATGACGTCACGCGATTTTGGACGATGTTGTACCCCCCCCCCTCAAATATGACGTCACAAAACTGTGCCCCCCCCCCCGAAAAAAATAAAACATGCTTCAAATCGCTTTAAACTATTGTCATTGTAGTGCGTATTTAATGTGCCGCTGCACTCTGATGTTGTAGGAGAAAACATTTATTACAAAGTCTATTTAATTAAGTAGAACGTGTTGTCTATATTTATTTAAAGTTGCGCATTTTGATGTGACGTCACATTTCTCACCCCCCCCCCCCCCGTCGTCACACATCGTCACAAATGTCTGACTCCCACCCCCCCCCCCTAAGTGCGTGACGTCATTTATGGACGACCCTAAATCTCCAGGGACGCGGAAAGTACTACGCACAACAAATCGCCTCGGGATGACACTCACAAACTTCACATTGCGAGCTTTGCTTGCGTTGTTTTGTTTTGCTGCAATAAGCGATACGCAATTAAGTCGCAGTGCTAAAAAGGAAACATTATTTATTTAAGTGTATTTACAAATTGTAATTCAACAGCTATTCTCATCATCAAAAACAACTGGAATCTTTTTTTTCTCTTCCTCTTAAATCTTGCCTTTGGCCACAACAAAACATAATCATTATGTTAATTTAATTTGATTCGATGTGACGAGAGTAACTGTGTCAGAGCAAGCAAACGAGTTCCGAACGGCTTAATTTGATGAGAGGAAAGAAAGAAAGAAAAAAAAGTCATCGCCAACAATTTACAGGCATCGAAACTTTAACACGCAAATGTGCAGGTCCGCTCGCTGTTGTTGTCTGCATTTGAGAGGCGGCGGTGGTGGGTGGGTTGGTGGTGGGTGGGTTGGTGGTGGGTGGGTTGGTGGTGGGTGGTGGTGGTGGGTGGGTTGGTGGTGGGTGGGTTGGTGGTGGGTGGGTTGGTGGTGGGTGGGTTGGTGGTGGGTGGGTTGGTGGTGGGTGGGTTGGTGATGGG